TCATCAACATCAGAACTTGCATTACGAGCAATAAAAGCTAGATCAACAACTTGCTTACCTTTGCCCTCATCTTCATCTTCAGATCCATCAAAAATTTTTATGAGTTCTTGAATTAACCACTGCATGCAATGTTTCTTCTTCTCCTTCTCCTTCATGTTCTTCTTCTTGTTCACGTCATCCTCTTTGACTCTACCATCATCTTCCTTCTTGACTCTCCCAAGCTTAGGGCAATGCGAGCGAAGATGATCAAGTGCACCACACTCAAAACAACGATTCGGTTATCCTCTTTTCCTGTTCCTAACATTTTTCATAGCTCGAGAAAATTTGTTAAATAGCAAAACCAAGTCCTCCTCCTCGAACTGTTCGAGTTGATCATCAGACATGGCATTAAATAAAGTAAGAACATAAGACTTCGATGAAGAAGCACCAACATCCAAAGAAGTTGAAGACGAAACCAAAGCACTAGAATTAGAATCACCTTTACGAGAAAGAATATTCATCTCATGAGTTTTCAGTTTTGTGTAAAGCGAATCCAAAGTCAAAGTAGACATGTTCACAGACTCCTGAATAGATGTAATTTTCATCTCCCAAATAGACATGTCAAGACCATTCAAAAAGTGACGAGAAATCTCAAATTGTAGATAATTAGCATCATAAGAAGAATCAACAGATCTAAGATCACCCAAAATTTTATTAAACCTAAAAAAGATAGTCATCCAAAGCTTCTCCAGGTTTCATCTCAAATTTAATGTACTCCTTTTTGAAAAGATCACAACGAAGTTCTTTAATGTTATTAGTACCTTAATGAAAATTATTCAAAGCAACCCAAATCTCATGAGCAGTTTGAAGATGAGCAACACAATCATAATCCGAACGAGAAATCCCACTCAAAAAAATATTGCGAGCTTTGCAATTCAGTTCAAAAGCAGTTTTTTCAGCAGCAGTATTAATAACTTCAGGAATCACATAAGGAAGAGAAACTTTTCTCCAAATATCATAATTCTCAGCCATAATGTAAGATTGCATCCTACTACACCAATGAGAAAAATCCATTCCATCGAAAACATGAGGCTTAGTTGAAAACTTATTAGAAGCAGCCATGGCAAAAACTTTGGATCGGTTAAAATCCAAAGAAGCAAACAAAGCTCTGATACTACTTGTAGGATCGAATCACAAGAACTAAGCCAACCAGAGGGGGGGTGAATGGTTGATATACCCCAAAACCCAAACTTTTAGCGGAAATAAAAGTTACCCTCAAATTCGATGTAGATCGGTCTGACCGAGGTTGATCCGCCGGTCTGACCGAGCTCGTGCCGCTGGTCTGACCAGTGTTGATCCGCCGGTCCAACTGCCTGAAGATTGCCTGTCGCGTGTGAAGTCGCCGCCGGTCTGACCGCCGGTATGTCGCCGGTTAGACCGCCGAAACCCGATGAAACACAAATCGAAGAACTCTCAAAGTAGATGATAACTTTATTACTTCTCTCTATGTTTACAAAGTGCACCAACAACACTCCTTACAAAAATCTCGACTAAACTCGAAACCCTAACTAAACTAGCAACTCAATTACTCTCAAAAGTGATACTGGGAAGACTCACGCTCCCCCTCTATTTATTCATGAGGTAGGCAGCCTAAAGCCACGAACCAAACTCATACTAAGAGTCCTAAACACCTTAGGAAACCCTCTAGTACAAGACACAAACTTTACATAACCAATTGTACCAAATTTGGACTCCTTCCAAATTCGACTCCGCATCCCATACGCACACAATACCTCCATCGTATGCCATATGGAATCTTCACCAACCACGTGCATCAACTCTAGCCTTAGTATCCCGCATGATATCTGACCACCACGGACATCGTCTTACCATCAAGCCGACTCTCAGTCCATCACCGCAAATACTCTTCCGAGGCATCGAGTCACCTACACACGAAATAAACAAAGAAACCATATTCCGATACCAAGCTATCCCCAACTTGACTCATTGTTAGCAAACAACAGTATTACATACGTATATTATCTATCTAGAAGTCATAACCATGAAACAATCATGGATATCCAAAGAAACAACCCGAAACCGAAACCGACATAGCGTCGGCCGGTCAGACCGCGGGCTGGCCGGTCTGACCGCTCGATCACCACCGGTCTGACCGGCATACACCACCTAGTCGGACCGGTCACATAAAATAATAGTGAATCCGATCATCACCTGAAAATTGATTATCTCCAAAACCACTTCGACGATAATCTCCAAATATCAAAACCAATAATCACAGATGTCAATTGTTCATCACAGAATAAGAATCAAAACACACTTTAATCTTACATTACGTTATTATACGTTCACCGTGAATAACATTTAGACCCATCACTCTCGAGTTCATATATCAGCCACCACATCGGAGGAAAGTTATGTGAGAGAATTTCAATCGGTGATAATATAGGCACGTACGTGTCGCCTCTCGACGACATGTAAGACCTGATGACTGAAAAACCTTAGCGCAGTACTACTCTGGGCCCCGGCGTTAGTGGCTACAAAGCAGTACACCAGTTGGTGTGAACTAATTTGACAGCTTAATTACTTTGCAGTCGTGTTATGTTAGAGTACCGAAACGTGTGCATGACTAGTGTAGGTGACAATTACATTTGGGATCGAGTTAATGGTGACAATAACATTGGCATCGAGTTAAACACGCCGTACATTGAAACTTACTCTACGGATATATTCTCCTTGTCTCGAATGAAAAAGAAAGAAAGAAAATAATTAATGATGAGGTCAAGAAAATATCACATCGTTGATCTAGCTGGAGAAAACCAACAAGCTAAGACTGCTAGCTACTGAAGAATATCAACCATGGTCGCTATAATGGAACGATCAAATTAGACCACTCGACAAGATGTTGAAAGATTCCATACCTTTGACTATGCTAGAGCATTTTCACCGGTACGTTAATTACCGCGTGTTAATTCGACGTACGTCAAAACTAAACACCTGGTAGTACGTGTTCGAACTCTCCTGTTGCATGCACACGTAAGTGACACGCATAAGAATCCAGACCGATCACACGTAATACACATGGAAATCAAATCGCACAGAGACTAATGCTGCAATTAAAATTCCATCTGGAATTTAACACGATCAGTACGTCTGAACATGCCTACATCTACCTGAAACGGACCCGTGGAAAACCGGAAAACGCCATGGCCGACACACATCTACACTACTCTCAGGCTAGTCCAATGAGCACTCCGGTCGTCGCCGGCCGTGCAACCGCCGAAATAAACGACGACGACGGTGACGACTGATGAGACGTTACAAGCTAGGCAAGACCATAAAATTAAATTAAAAACAAGCACACACGCACTAGAATTCCAAGAAAACTACGTCTTGTTACGACTCTTTGCTTGTAGCAGTACATGTGTCTTGTTGTGAAATGTTGATTAATTCTAGCCCTTGTAAGTGTTATCCATATCGATGCAATGCCTGATCCCGAAGCCACGTCTTGGGATTTCGTACGGGGCTCCTCCTCTCACGAGGAGCTGAGTTTTCTAACCAAAAAAAACTGTTACTTATTGTGCATAGTCAGATCGATAGATAGGTTGTTTCAAAAAAGAAAACGATATAAGATAGATGTTGCATGCATATACATTACATTAGCAGTGAGATTAATTAATAGTAAGAACATTAATTATCCATAATATGTAATTAACATTCATAATATATATATGTCTGTTGCATTGCTGGTGGTAATGAGAATCTTGAGATCTATTCCAAGTCCAACGTCCAATTAAAGGAGAACAGCTTATATATTAGCCAGTTTTTGGTTCCAACAACCAGTTGACCTCAATCATCATGACGATCGAAGAGCTAGAGAAAAAAATTATCAGGATCAAAGGTGTATTATAATACAGAAGAGAGGATAGTTGGCGTAAAATAATAACTATACATTGTTACTGAAATTCTGTGTGGCCCAAACAAGTTGACTCGAGATTTTATACGGAGACGCAACTGCTAGTCCGGCCTTAGTTTTCCATTATACTGTATAAATCTTCGGTCATCGGTGAGCTATAGAAGGAGATCAGATTAAGGCACTGAAATGGCTATCACCTTACAGGATGCAGACGATGGCATGCCATGAGTCAACATTGCAGAGGTCCGACTTAAGACATCGAAGCATATATATACACTAAGTGTTGTGAATCACAATTAATGCATGCGTTTAGAAAACAAAATGGTAACACCTTAGGTTTTTTTTTCTAACTAATTTTTGGGTTTTGCTAGGTTTGCATACAAGCTAGCTAGCAACCTCAATCAAGGGCACTCCTTAATTACATAAGAATTATATAAAGGTCATGAACGAATTATATTGTCTAACACATATATATCATCAAAAAAAAATTTGCATGTTGTTTTACTCAATTCCTAAGGTGCTGTAGACAGCTATATTCTCCATGAAATGAAGTGCTTGCGAGCCACTTGATACTAAATTATAGTCACATACACAAGTCAACAGTTCAATTTATAGCGCGAGCGAGTTCTATAAAAGTACTAAACATGGCATTGAAAGTTGACATTGTGCAACTAGAATGCTAGATTTATACATATGAAAAGAAAATATTAATGTATATATAGCTCACATTTTAATCTGTCATTTTGGTAATGGGGAAACTAAGGTGCGTGATGATAGCGGCCCTGAAGAAATTCCAAGAGTTGACCTGGGCTCCATACAATACTAATCCCCTTAGCGTTAGAAGCGCTCTCTCCCATCATGCACATGACCAAGCCCCCACTTGACTTCGGTATCCCTTGTCATTTGGATCACACCACCGTGCACTTCACAATTCACACTACTCCTTCAGATTAATCCATCTCGTTGATATTTCATCTCGAGTCGTAAAAACCCTCATATTGTATTCATCACTGACATGTGTGCCCCCAAAAAATATCAATAGGTGTAGAAGGTCGTGTATATATACGCATTCATGTGTGTCAAGGCAATATATTTTGTTGAATATGAGATGACATGGGATAATAGGATTAAGGAGGAGTCTTCCCTCCTCATTGCCCTTTTAATACGTCTTAGACACCCAGACATTGACTTAGATGCCTCGGGAGAAGTAGCATTAGGATTTAAGACCGTTCCCCATTTTAGCTGTACCAAGAGAGACAAAGGTACACAAGATTACCAGAAAGAGGCCAGGAGCATGTCATCCAAGAAGAAGAGAGCTGCCATAGATCTCTCCCTGGAGGCAGAGAGAAGACGGCCAGAAGAACGCGGCGGCGGCAGCGATCGCGAAGCCAGCGATGGCGCCGCTGCTGCAGCTGAGGAAGATGGTGATGTCAAGCAACGAGAGGGCCCTAAAGAGGAAACCGGCGGCGAGGAGGAGAAGGTAGTTGAAGTGGTTGTGGACCAAGGAGAAGACGGCTCCAATGAGGAGATCAAATATAGGACTCAACAAGCAGAGATGATCGAGGAGGACAAGCAACCAGCTGCAGCAGCAAACGTCGACGACGATGGCGGCGACAGCGACGGAGTCGGAGCTAGCGCGGAAGAGAAGCACATGGTAACAGAGGCCACCGGCGGCGAAGGCGACGACGGAGGCGATAGCCGTACCCCCATGGCGCAAGATGAGGTACTATACACAGTACTACAATTAAACTTACCGACGATTATAAAAACTCCTAATTATACTATTAGCTGGTGATGTGATGCAAGTAGATAGAATTAATATCGATGGAGATTTCTCTTGTCCTTTGCTCCCATTTGGAGTTGACATATATATGTGTGCTTCTTCAGCTCAGCGAGATGCAGGAGGAGATGGAGAGGATGAAGGAGGAGAACCGGATGCTCCGGCGAGTCGTCGACAAGACGGTGCGCGACTACTACGAGCTGCAGATGAAGCTAGCCGCCTACCAGCAGCAACCGGCAGCAGCAGATGAGCCTAAGGTGATTTAATTTCTTAATTAGCTGAGCTAGCTTAACCAAGCTGATTTAGCTAGCTATTATAGCTAGGCTAAATATCCAATTGAGCCTACCCATGTTGAAACTAAGCTTAGCTCTAGCTCGCGCGCTCATCTCGTGCATGACTTTAATTATTCTTCCACGTGACACACCATAATTACCATATTACTCAATTAAGTCACGCCTTGTTGTTTGCGAACTCGTGATTGATTCGATCGATTTCCGTGTAGGAGACCGAGGTGTTCCTCTCCCTCGGCGCAACGGCCGCCGCCTCCGCCGGCTGCGGCGGCGGCTTCCCGGAGGCGAAGAGCAAGGAGCAGGCCGCGTGGCGGCGGCGCTCTGTCGGAAGCGACGACAGCGACTGCGGCAAGGAGGATCTAGGGCTGTCCCTTAGCCTGGGAGCGTCGTCGTCGTACGACGACGACCAGAAGGCGGTGGAAGCAAGGCCGCACGACGTCGACGGCGCGGCGGCTGCGGCCATGATCGGCGGCGACGGCAGCAGGCCGGCGCCGAGGGGGTACGCGCTGCTGGAGAGCAGCAAGGTGCAGGGTGGCGCGGCGCCGGCCGCCGGCGAGCTCGCCGCGGCCGGCGGCATCACGAGCCAGAGCGTCAACCCGGCCAACCGCAAAACTAGGGTTTCAGTTCGAGTCCGGTGCCAAGGCCCCACCGTAAGACACAATGCATGCAACATCTGTGCGTGCATGCGTGCAGTACATGATACGAGTACTAATTACTAATATTGATCTTGTGATGTTGTCGCACCGGTGCAGATGAACGATGGGTGCCAATGGCGGAAATACGGGCAGAAGGTCGCCAAGGGCAACCCGTGCCCGCGAGCTTACTACCGGTGCACCGTCGCGCCGGGCTGCCCGGTGCGGAAGCAGGTGACGATCGAAACTGACAAGAATTCAGATTGATTAGCATTGGTTGCATGCATGATCATGTGTGTTCGTGCATGGATTGATCGATCTCGTTTGATTGTGTGCAGGTGCAGAGATGCCTCGAGGACATGTCGATCCTGGTGACGACGTACGAGGGCACGCACAACCACCCGCTCCCCGTCGGCGCCACCGCCATGGCGTCCACCACCTCCGCCGCGGCCACCTTCATGCTTCTCTCCAGCACCACCTCCTCCTCCTCCGTCTCCGACGCCTCCGCCGCGCCGTCGTCGTCCTACCTCAGCCCGTACCTGCTCAACTCCGCCTCGCCGTTGCTAATGCCGGGCGCCACCGGCGGCGGCGGCGGCATGCAGCATCTCAACCTGTTCGGGAATTCGCCGTCGTCGTCGTCTCTGCTAGCTCCGCAAGCGCCAGGCTCCAGCAAGTACCCGTGGTCTCCGAACCACCCTCCGCTCGCCGGCGCCGGAGGTAATAAGAGACCGTTCTGGAGCGCCGGCGGCGACGGGGACAAGCCGGCGCCGGCGGCATTGGCCGAGAACGTCGGCGCGGTGATGTCGGACCCGAACAAGTTCTCGGCGGCGATCGCCGCGGCGATCAACAACTTCATGGGGAAAGACGGCGAGAGTAGCAGCGGCAAGAGTAGTAGTAAGTGGGGCGTGGTTGAATCACTTCCACCCCATGAGTAGTAGTGAGAATTATATTACTAGTTACTAGCTAATCAAATGTGACAAGATTGATTCAATGATTGGGAAATCAGTTAGGATTATTGCGTGTAAACAAATCAAACTAGGGGAAATCACACATTGGAAACATTTTTTTCGGGGAGATTTCGTTGTAATTTTTCAGTTTTTTTTTGTTTGGAACAGATCGAATTGTTGTTAACCGTAAATTACAGTATCTGTTCATCGTCTTTATTAATTAACAAGGTTGTACGATCATATTCAGATCATACAAAGTAGTATCCTATATTAGTAGGGCCGTGGGGGTTCAGTTCTGTGTGCTATAACAGTTTTTTATTTACTACATTTATAAGCATTTTTATGGTTATTTTACCATACTTAAGGAGTTATCGGGAGTTACCATATTTTCTATATTGAAAATATTTTCTAGTATAAAATTTGATGCATATGGTGGTATTAGTTATCAAAATTTTTAGTGTAAAATGTAGGTACCTGCTCTATTAAGAACCATAAAATTTCTCATTTTCTTATGGGCAGTCGATTTCACACTTGCCCTTGGTTTATTCAAGAATGTTTGCCGGCATTTTAAATTTTGGAGAAAAAAAACTAACCGGTGGATATATCAGTGCATTTAATAGTGGTTTCAATTTGGTCCCTATGTCTAAATTGATCGGTTGTTTTGCTCTCTCCTTTTATTTATTTTTATTTTTTTAACACGCAAAACAATTGCACATCAATGTATTAGAATAAAAAAATGTTACACAACGTAAGTGGCTAGACATGTAATTAATGAAAAAGAGTTTTCATTATTTGGTCTATTAATTATACACATGATCTGGTTGTAACTATATATATTGTGACAATTATTTTTTCTGTTTGAGAAAACAAATGTCCACAGAGGTTCGCTTAAATAGTAAGGGTTACATCATGACAGGATCGCATCATTTATGAAACACTGTATGGGCTACTGTGCCAGGGTCACACCTGTAGCTGATCAAGCATTATCAGTTGGCTTCCAGAACAACAATACTGAATTAGGCCTAATAACAAAACCACACTTTGAAATCTTGTGGCTAGTACTATATATATATATATATATATATATATATATATATATATATATATATATAAATATATAGCTTGATGACTACTTCATCCGTTTCATAATGTAAGACTTTCTAGTATTACCCACATTTATTTAGATGTTAATAGATGTAGACATATGTATGCGTTTAAATTTATTAACATATATATATATATATATATATATATATATATATATATATATATGTGGATAATGCTAAAAAGTCTTACATTCTGAAATGAAGGGAGTATTAATTAAGACAGATCATACGAATTCAGCAAGTATTGTTTTGTGCTGTACTGCTAGCAGTGCAAGAGTTGTTCCGCGAATAACTCATTTTTCCTTTTGATTTTTCGGTTTGAGAACGTCGTCTAGCACCATTCAAATTAAGGAAGCCTGCAGTGCACTGTGCACTCTGCATGGTCTCCTGACTAATTAGCAATCTGGCGCCGTCAGCTCAGCTTTCTCTTGTAAAACATACTCCCTCCGTAAAAAAAAAAAGACAAACCCTGGGTTTTCGTATTCAATGTTTAACCGTCTATCTTATTTGAAAAAATTATGAAAAAAATTAAAAAGACAAGTCACGCATAAAGTATTAATCATGTTTTATCATCTAACAACAATGAAAATAATAATTATAAAAAAATTTCATATAAGACGGACGGTCAAACGTTTGACATAAAAATCTAGTGTTTGTCTTTTTTTTTTTAAGGCAGAGGGAGTACGTAGAGATTGGCGCGGCCGGGGATGCAATATGCAAGTCAAGGCCGTTGCAGCGAACCAGCTTGTTGGTAGCGGCCATCAGGATGCAGGCCGGATCGATGCCTGCAAACTATTGTTGCGCATGAAGCGACTGTTGTAGCACATTAGAAGCCAGTATGGTGGACAGGATCTTCCGGCAGGCCTCTGTAAGGCCCCAGAGGAATTTCACAGAGAGAACGCTAAGCCGCTAACTCTTCAGTTCAGTAAGATATCTTATATATGGGGTATATAGGGCAAAGTTGTCTCGGTACCCAAAAAGAAAGGGGAAATGTTATCACTAAACAAGGAAGAACAGAGATCGCATATTACATTCGTATAGAGGAAAACAATCACTGTACGCTCCGGACAAGCTTCTCCAGACTCTAGAGTGGTGTACTACGTTCCAACTTCCAACCCCTTGTTTCCATTGATCATTCTAACACCTCTGGTCACATGGTTCTGACCATTTCTGGAACATGCCTATGCTCTCTTGCAGTAGTGTCCTTCGCGTAACTAAGCCTATTTTCCGTTAAGCTCAGTCATTGCTTGTACTTACACGAGTGTTAAATCCCCTCCTGGCATGTACTTTCATCAGCACTAAAGTCTGAAATTTCTTGTAGTATTAGGGTGTGTTTGAGAAGAAGGGGATTGGGGAGATTGGGAAGATACGCAAAACGATGTGGGCCATTAGCATATGATTAATTGAGTATTAACTATTTTAAATTGCAAAAATGGATTAATATGATTTTTTAGAGCAACTTTCCTATAGAAATTTTTTGCAAAAAACGCACCGTTTAGTAGTTTGGGAAGCGTGCGCACGAAAAACGATGAGCTTTCTCACCCAATGTCACTAGAACGAACACAGCCTTAGTACAAAACCCCAAAATCCACACTGAACTTCTCTGAACTTTTATCACAGGGCCATTAGCCTGAAGCCTCGAGCAGGAGGTAGGAGAGAGAGAGAGGCTGGGGACCAATACGCCAGCAAAAGCCACAGTCCCACGGATCATGTGATCAGCCACCGCCCACGCCCCACCACCACCACCAAAGCCACCAAACTCTTCTCTGAAGAAATTTCAGTACTCAGTGTTGAAGCCTGAACCACCCATCCAGAATCGCAGGAGCAGCGAGCGATCTCGGTTTGATCTCGTGCGAGCCGCGCTTCTCGGTCCATCCGAAAAACGCCAAGCCCAATCCAATTATCCAACCCTATCCCAGATCAGAATATATCGGATATGGTTGATTTAATCCCAACTCATTACTGCTATTTCTTCGCTTGTTTCTCATGCGTGTTTACAAGAATCTTCCAACCTAATCCCCCCGTCTTCCACCACAATCACGCAGTGACAGCGAGGAAATTATAGTTGCCTGGTCAAGTAAAACTCTGCTTAGTGAGACATTCCTACTTTTCCAAGTTATAAAACAAACATTCTGAATTTTATCCATGGGGTTAATTTCAGCTGTTCCAATTGTAATCTCACTAGCTTTATTAATGAATTTTAGCTGTTCCAATTATGAACTCACTAACTTTACATAGAGGTTGATGACCACCGGCGGGAAGGAATCTGTTCCCGTTTAATACGGGTTAACACGCCGAAATTTACTCGACCCTACGATAAAAGTACAAACGATAAGAGGAATATTCCTTTTTATATTTTATTTTCTCTCTCTCTCTCTCAACGTGCTACAGTTCAACGGTGTACGGCAAATCGCAACACGTCCCGTAGAAGGCACCCCCCGTCTCCGCCGGTTTCGTCACCCCAGCTTTTGCGTGGACGCGGTCCATGGACTGCACCGCGACCCCGGCTTCCGTCCCGGCTCCCGCCCGCCCGAGGAGGGAGCCGGTGCATGGACCGGGTCCACGCAGGGGTGAACAGGCGGCGAAACTGTAATTGCAACGCGAACTCGCACCAAAAAACGTGGGGCCCACCCGCCCAAAATCTTTGCGTCTCCTCCCCTTTCTAATCCACTTTTTATTTTTTGCGCCATTTTTTCTTTTTCTTTTTCGTTTTGTTTTTTTTTTCGTTAATTTGGCTTAACTAGGGGTGTCCTTGTCTTTCGCCATTTTCTCTCTCGCTCGGTTTGCTGCTCTCCTCCTCCTCGTCGTCGTCTCCAACTCCGTCGCGGCCTCGCGCTCACCGCCGCCGGAATCCGGCTGACCTCCTCCGCTCCCGCATCGGGCGCTCGCCCCCCGGGTCTAGGTACTTGCCCTTGCCCCCCTGCCCATGCCCTTCGTCCCGATTCGAACATGTCAGATTTGGTTGGTTGGGTATCTTGGTGGTGGGTTGGTTCGCCAGGCGCCGAGGCCCAAGTTCTTTGTCCTGGAATGGTGGCTAGGGAGCTTTGTTTCGGGGTTCTATCTCTGTGATTTGGGTGCGGATGGGAGGAATTCTTCTTGGTTTGGGGGAATTTGGGGGGTTCCGGTGCTGATTTGAGTGTTTTCTGGCTGGTTCTTGGCGCTCCTTCGGGAGAATTTTGTGGAGCTCTCTGATGGGAGTGGTCTAGGTCGGGATCTCAGACTGGATGGCCTAATTTGATCTTATCAAGGTGAATTATGCCTTCTCAGTGAGGATTTAGGTGACTGTGGTTACAATTGCTGGGGTATTTGACCTAAAAACGAAGATGGGCGAGCAAAAGGGGCCTCCTATTGTCAAAATTTTAGTCATTGAACCAGTAGCACGAGAGCGGTGTTCTCGGTGTATTCTTTGCGTGTAGATTGGAGGATTGGCCGCAATGGCGTAGCAAAATACCCTTTAATGTATCTTTTGAGCTTCTGTTGATGCTTTTAAGCTTTTTGATTGTTGTAGTAGTGATTAACAATTTTGTAGGAAATGATCTACTGCGAGAAGGTACTGTAGTAAGGAAATTTAATTGGCAGTAAAGCTTCATTTTCTGAACTGTCCTTGTGCCCATTGATAATGCCATTAACGTAGAAAAAATAGCATTTCGGATAGCATTTTAGTTAAATCGTGAGCACTTATCTAGTCTTGGGCCGTGGCCCTTTCATTTCTTTGCTTAAAGTTAACGAAGAAAGATGCTTCTCGGGTAATATTTAATAATGCACTATTCAGTGGATAAGGTGCACTTTTTAGATGGAGAAGAAAGTGTTTTTGTCACTGATTTGAGTTGAAAATGGTGAATTTTGAACCAATTTGTGGCATAAGAAAACCCTTTTGCCAACCTCCATCCATGTGTTAGCAATCATGGTAGGAGGATCAAGATTGAAGTAAAACTTAAAGAAGCCCTTTGCTTCAAATACCTTTCTTGTGCTGGTTACTTAGCATGTTCTTAAAGGATGGAATCCTTGGCCCAATTGCAGTATCAATTGATTCTCTCTAATTAAAAAGTTATGTGTTGTTCCTTGTTTCTCTTTAATTCTGGTAGATCTGGGAGGGGTCCTGACATGCTCCATGTGGGCCACTGGTTTTCCCTTTATCTCTTATCTGGCTCTTAGGTGTGACTTTTTTAATGGGTATTGTAGATCACATCTAATGTGCTTCATTGATTTGATTATTTAAAAGCCTTTGGTTGTTGCTATTCGTTTGTTTATGTTCCTACCCTTCTGTGGTTGGATCCCATAAAGTCTACCTGTGACTTCTGCTGCCTTGGTTGCTTGTTAGTCATTGTTGTGGATCTTAAGTTTGCTGACTTGGTTTAAGGAGGAAGGCTGCTGCAAGAGTAAAGCTGCAATTGGTTGGTAATGTTGCTCATGAGTTTTTCTTGTATAATTGCAACAACCAAGGAGGATCTTTTTGTTTGTTTTCCATTTTGACATTGTACAATGCCAGTTTGCTACTTCTTGCTTCTTTTTTATAAGTTTGCAGCCTTAGTTTAGTAAGTTTGCTTGGTTTCATATGCTTGATTTGACTCACAAAAATGATAACTGTGTGGATGCCTCTTTTCCTTGTTTGATTATGTGATTATATCAGGGTCTACATTCACTGCCTCTGTGGCGGGGTTCATCCCTATCATCATGTTAAATATTAAACTTTCCTCCTTATGCCAATTCAATGGAGCAGCAAATGGTGATTCCAATGCCAACAGAAATTGCTGCCTTTGGAAGTTGGACAGTTGTGATTTGTGTTTTTTGTTTCATGATTTTAGTTGCGCCCTTCAACTATCCATCCATAAAGCTGTGTTCATTTTTACGTTGCCTTGTGTGTTCTGTTTGACAAATGATGAAAATGACCAGATAAGGAATCAGGAAATGTTTTGACTTGGCCAAGGAAGATCCATCTGTGCAGCTCCTACTGACCCCCACCCCCACCCCCCAAAAAAAAGTCCTCAACACATTCTTGACAAAGTTGATTAATCTTTTTCCCTTTTGTTTTGCTAAATTGTAATATAAAGAATTAACCTTGTACATATTTTCTCTCTTTAATGAAATTACACTACTAGGCAAAGCCCTTGTAGTTTTCCCAGTCAAAAAAAAATTGTAATCTAAAGAAGGTTAATTTCTGTGTTTATCTTGTATTTTAATATCCTTGCAGATCCCTGGCCTGTTTTTGTTTATAAGAAAACAACTGTATCAACAATTCATGCAAATCACGTTATGGTTTCTTTCTGGACAGGTTTCCGAAGAAATGGCAAGAAGTGCAAGGGCAAGGAGGCATGTGGCTCGTCAGCTTAGATCCGCACCGTATCCCATCCCTTCGTACCGCTGGAAAGCAATGAAAGAATCAAACCGAAAGAAAACTCTGCCAGCTGCACAGAAGATGGACTGGGAAGATGCCAACTGCTCTGTGTGCATGGAATACCCGCATAATGCTGTTCTCCTCCTTTGTTCTTCGCATGATAAAGGTTGTCGCCCTTACATGTGTGGAACTAGCCACCGCCACTCAAATTGCCTTGATCAATTCAAGAAGGCTTACACCAAGGGTGCATTGCTAGAGGAACTTCCTGCCAACACTGTTGGCACGAACTTGGACTCGACGCCATTGATTGCAGGTGAAAAAAATGAGTCTGTTGATCTTGCATGTCCACTGTGTCGTGGCAAGGTGAAGGGATGGACTATAGTAGAACCAGCTCGAAGTTATCTCAATGGGAAAAGGAGGACATGCATGCAGGATGGTTGCTCATTTGTAGGAACCTACAAGGAACTCCGCAAGCATGTGAAGTCAGAGCACCCTCTTGCAAAGCCAAGGGAAGTCGATCCCATCCTTGAACAGAAGTGGAGATTGCTAGAGATTGAAAGAGAGAGGCAAGATGCACTCAGTACGATAACAGCAACTATGGGGAGGGCGATTGTTTTCGGTGATTATGTGCTAGACTTGGAAGATGAAGATGATTTAGATGATGTAGAAAGTGATGAGGATGACAATGCCAACGGACACGGGACAGATAACACTAGACGAATGTTAATGTTTCTAATGCGCCAAGTTGCTCGGCATCATCAAAACCAAAGGCTTCAGAATGCAATTGGTACAACTGGCGGTGCCGAGGACAATTATGCGGTGAGCAGTGGTGCAAATGCAACCACGCCTTACCATTACCCCTTGGAAGGCGACGATGAGGATGATTTGGTTATGGCCGGAGGCGGAAGCACCGGTATGGTTAGACCAGAGAGGCGGCGTCGGCGCCGCCGTAGAAACCGCGAGAGGTTGTTCTTAGGTGCTAATTGAGACAACAGGGGCTTTACCACTGGAGGAGTACATTGCACAATTGGTTCTCTGGTGCATAGCATTCATCAATTTCAACCTCAATTTACTTGTTCATGATCATGTACCAAAGTAGTTGTCTTAACCTTTTAGCTCATTGTTTCACTTCAATGTATGCCATCTCACATTCATTGTTGAAAAGGAAAATACCGCACCCATCTTGTGCGGTTTGTGTAGCCTTTATTTCCAGTTTTTCAGAAGCTCTGCTAAATATTAATCCAGTGGGGATCGATTTTAGATCTCACCAGCTTCAGATATTCAGTTGTGCTTAGTGCTGACTAAACATAGATTTGAACATTTGCTAAACCGGAGGTGTTGACTGACGATATTACAACATAAGAAGCAGTAAGATCTTACAATGACCTGAGCTCATGTTTCAACCAAACATAGAAACTGTAGAATACATTATCATTGAGTTCGACACTTCATCGTTGAAGTGCCCTACACTTTATGACATCAACATACATGCTCTAAATGATTTCCCGTAACATAACATTACAATTTTGTTCATAACTACATTCTACAGAGCATATATTAATATAATCATTTACTTGTATATACTTGCAAGAAGAAAGATTTGTATCTCTTCACGACGGTCGATGAGCATTTCCACAGCAGATCTTCTAGTAAACCGTCGATCGAAGGCATCTGCCAATTCACACCATCTTGCCTGATCTACATTCCCAGATGGCGAATGAATATCACAAACATCACAAGCACATGCGAGCTCGTGCAATGCGGTGCCAAGAATGCTCACTTCTGTCAAACGCCATACACCATCATGTCATCGATTGCTCAATGCCCAGAACCAGGAGGCGCATTGGACACCCAAAATCTCCCACTTGAGCACAGGGCAGTTACTTTTTCCTAATGATGGTAGGCACACCGTAGCAAACGGGAGATCCACCGATCATAAGAGGAAGCCTGCAAGCACGCCTAGCTTCACTTAAATATGAAGCTACTCGCCTGTTGCCACAAGTGCAACGCTTACTACAGTTATTCATTCGTTCGGACTTCTTCCCTCGTGTGCCTCTTCGCCTCGGCCTGCCATTACCCTCCACAGCAATGGTCATGGATTCAAATTCTCGTGTTAGCTGGCAACACTTCGAGCAATTTTTGGCCGCTACAAAATTCTCTTGCAACCATGAACCGAGCAATGCTTTGCTGAATCGATCAATATCCTTATCTGACACATCCCAGAGATTTGCGATAACAGCTGGAGAACCAGCAGATAAATATGATAAAGGGGCTCCTTGAGGAGCATAACACCCTTTGCAACGCAATGTTCCACTACTGCAACCCATAAGAAGAGCAGCTGCGCAATTATCTAATTTCTCAATTTCCTTTCCAGAGACATACTGAGTTCCTGCAACATTTCAAGACCAGTTAGAAAATAACTGTTTAGTTCTAATAAATGAAAATGGCTGTTCTCTGTATTAGTCAAAGGCTACCAGAACAGTGCCCAGTAAGAACAAAGATACTCATGATCACTAGGTTAGTTCTTATTCCTAACAGTCCAATCAATAGGTAATAAATACAATTGAAAACTTGAAAGCATCCATTGGCACTGGGCCCCCTAGAAGCAGTTGTTCTTGTTCCAATTGACACATAACCCACTCTGCTATCACATGTGGCCGGTTTGTGTAGTTGACTCAAGGGCACCATCTAATGAATTAGCGGTTCAAGCTTTAGTTATTTTTATATAAAAGCTGGGTTTGAGTATTCATCTAAAGAAATTTCACCCAGGTGGCCATAATAGACCAATCAACAATTTAGGTCATGTTATCACCCGTTGAAAATAGCAATCCTTAATGTATCGCTGTTGCAGCAATCAGTAAAAAGAAAACAGGTTCAGCAAATAACTTAACTATGGTACTCCCTCCATCCCAAAATATAACTTCTAGTGTTCAAAATTTTATCCCGAAATGCAAAAACTTCTCCACCTACTTTCTTATCTCAATCAATCACAACCATCTTTCATTTAATTTCTCTACATATTTTCTCATCTTAATCGATGACAACCATCCCTCATTTAATTTCACCTCTTCTTAATTCCCGTGAAAAACTCTAGAAGTGCTTATATTTTGAAATGGATGGAGTATTACCCTACTAGACTTAATTCTGAGGACCGAAGGCATCAGGGTTTAACATGAATGGGAGAAAACGTTAATATGTAGATCCAGCAAAATGATGACTACAATCTTTATATCTATAGGGCTTACCACTTCCATGACCAAAATAAAGGAAAAGATCATGATTCCTCAAGGCCAACACCAGCTCTTCAGCTGTTGGAGCATACCCAGCCTTTCCCTGCATACAATCGTTGCAACATTCACAAATCACAACCGTTTGTTGGTGCACTATATAGGCATCCAAATTCATGCTTTAACATGCAACATAAATGCTCCAGCAAGCCTGCAAAAGCCCTAAGGGTTCATGTCCTGTTATCTCTATGACATATGTTAGACGCTGTAGTTGATTGATGCAATTTATTAAATTTAGTTGCAACCAACAGTAGCAATAAGCAGACAAGCTGAGCTAGAGGTATCTAGTGCTAGCCTACAGGTAGACAAGATTTTGCAGCCATTTATATTTCTAAAGTGAAAGGAGCAGTAAATATAACCACTTTTGGTATGGCAAGCACATGTTTACAAGCACATTGAGATGCCAGAATATAACCATTTCTCATCTCCCAACAAGAGCATTTCCACAGTTGGTGGAAGCAATTATTTTTCACAAATTTAGCACTGAGAAATGGTTGTTAGAACAAGGACTGTTGTTTTATCATTTCTAAATTGTTGTCAAATCAATGTTACCTTCCATTCGTAGTTCTTAAACATCTGATCAAATTCTTCTTGTGTACTGCTCAGGTCTCCACTAGGATTCAACAGATAAAATGCGTTGAAAGGGTCAATGACAGGAAAAGGAGGAGCTATAACACGGGCATCTTTCCAATAATTATTACTTCTAGTCAAAGCTAGAAAGACACTTCCAATTGATGGCATGCGATAAATTTCTTGATTCCTTAGTGCAGGCAAGTTTTCCCAAGGAAGCATCTGCATTTAATCATTTTAAACAAAAGAGGTTAATGAAGATATCATAAATGATAGGAACATACATCACAGCCTCACAGAGTCACAGGGACTGCTGATTGAAATTGAAAAAAAAAGCAGAGGCAATTATTTTTTTAGAGTAAATTTCAGAGAATGCCATGTTTTATAGTTAAAGCTGCAGAAAACCACACGTATTATGACTCACATAACCACAGTTTTTTGTCTAAAGGTTTCATAAATCCCCAACTTCATTCAAATCTCTATTAATTTTAGCATATCTGAAAAAATATTATTCAAATTAGTGAAGAGTTAAACCAATCACCTTAATCAAGAAGTCAATAATTAAAAAAAAGCATAGACACTCCATATTTTTTAAAAAATAAGTAAATATATGCTCTGCATGTATAGGGGTGGGATTTTGTGAAACTTTAGGACCATAATATCCAGGGCTATGGAGCTATGCTAGTAATAGTTCCTAAGGTTTTGTACAACTCCAACCATAAAGCATGGCGTTTTCTGAAATTTATTCTTTTTTTAATCAACAAAGGATGCAGTAAATTCAACAACTGTAAGTGCCAAGCTGTTGCGACAGTTTTAAGATATTTGTGGTTATGTTTAATATTCATATTCATATTAAATACAACCACAGACCTGGACCAACACAGGCTTGAGACAAATGATATCGAATCCACAGTATCTATTCCTACCATTAGACCGAACAGTCAAGGAAAACATCCATAACACTATCTCAAGGACTCGAAGAAATATCTACGCACATGTACTAACCCACACAGTAAACATAGTTCACAATCTGGCCATCTTATTGCTCACCTGCACATTAGTGTCCAGAACAAAAATGACTGGATCTCTATCAACTGGTTCAATCAGCTCATTCACTGTACTTTTTATTAAGCATTCGACTGTCTCCAGAGCTTCAGACTCAATACAGCAAGAAGATAAGGCTCTAAGTCTGTCTTTCCCACAACACCCTCCTCGGCCAAAATATCCTTTATACGATATAAGTTGGGAAACACAGTCCTGCACTTCATCCACTGACATAGCACCACCAAGGATGACCTTGATGAGCACTGGATTTACTTCAAATTTGAATTCTGATTCCAGACCAGCAATCAGGTTTGTCAGAGCTTCCTCAATGTGTTGGTCAGTTAAATCATACCCCAAGAGAAGGCATTTCCATGGCCCCAGCCATGATTCCTCCATGTCTCTGTTCAAAAAAGAACATAACATACCAGAACCAAAAAGTTATTAAAAATATGATCCATCTCAACAACAGAAAATTCAAACATTTTTTTAGGAATACATCTTGTGGAATCAATTTTCAAGTTTTGCCATAACATAAGAAATCTTACTTCAGCATCTTATCAAGGTGGTTGTTGAGCTTCATTCTATGTGACCACCACTTTACATGGTTTGCTTGTCCATCATTCAGAGTGAGGGTTGCACTAGAGAGGGAAATAAAGTTCTCCTCAAGTATCTTTCTAAAAGTAGGAGCCACGTAGTCTATTATAGTGTAGCCCCAAGGGCACTGCCAATTCTTATCTGTGGCTCTCATTAGATTGTCCAGTTCTTTGGTACAGGAATCTTCATGTTGGGTTTCTGCCAAGCAACAGCCATGTGAGAAAAAAAAAACACAAAAGAAATACTAAGAGTAAGCTATGCAATTTTAATATGGAATCAACAAACCTTTAGAAATAGCATCCACTGGCAAAAGCATTGTAATAGGTTTGTTTGTTGAATCAAACCTCGAAAGCATCATCCAAGCAGGAAAATAAGAAGGGAGAAGAAGAATTTCCCCAAGAACATTCACAAAATCACCTTCAAGCATGCTAATGCACACAATTGGTACATCAGGAAGCTTATGGAAGAATTCTTTTATATGTATCTCAAGATGTCCTATGTCTGCTGATGAAAACCTGAGAGAAATTTAAATATGACCATGGAGGACAAATCCGGTAAAAATGAGCTAAGTGTTAAACTCTTGAAAATCATACCTAAAAGTTTTGTAAATTCATGAAAAATTACTAGAGATAGGTGTAGATATGAAATACATTCTCACCAAATCTCAAGTTCAAACTCAACTTTATTTGGGAGTAAAAAAAGAACAAATTTCGGGTGAATAGTAACAGGACACTATTCAACTGAAATTTGTTATTTTTGTTTCTCTCGAATGAAGTTGAGTTTGGACTTGAATTTGGTGAGTGTATTTCATAGGTACACCTATCTCTAATAATTTTTTCATTAATTTACAAAGCTTTTTAGATATGATTTTCACGAGTTTCCAACACTTAGCTCGTTTTCACATGATATTTCCCCTATACAATGACAAATAATGATTTGGCTAATTTACTACATAAACATTTTGAACCTGAAAAACTTTGAGAGACTCTCATCTGACGCATTTGAAAAATCTTCAAGAGCGGCCTGAAATGCAGGGTAAAAATTAAAGATAAATAGTACATGAAAAGGAATGTGTTGATTTAGCAGTGAATTACGTACAAACCTTCGAGTCATTTTTTCTGAGTAATGATTTTAAGCCAGCAAAGTACTGGCAATCGAGATAGGTTCCAACAGAATTCTGATGAAAGTATGCAGCCCAATGATTCAAAGAGAGAGATCCACTGGAGTATAAAGGTAATTGAGCCGTGGAATCAATCGTTGCAAGTAAGAATATACATGCAAGTAGCCTGCAAACCTGAACCAAGAGAGTTGGATTTCAACACAAGAACCATCAACAGTAAAACATATACTTGAAGACGGAAGGAAACTATAGCCTGAACTCAGCAGGCACTCAGAGATGATAAAATTAAGAATATGCAATGAGCATTTAAAACATTATACTGCATGGAAACATGACTAAAGGAAATCACAGACCTCCTGAAAAAGTGAGGGATTCTCTCTGGACAGCACAAAAGCTTTCAGCAACCAAGGAACAACATCAGACATTTGTACACTGCAGAAGCGGCAGCATATGTCCCTGAAGACAGATGAAATGAAAACAACTTACACAAGTTTCACGAAGCGCTACAATTGCAATGTGGATATGTGACTGATACTATAGCAAGACAATGAAATAACCTTGACTGTTCTGAAAGGAAGCCCTTGAGCAAAAACAAACTCATACTATATAATATTTCTGCCCTCTCTGAAATAAGAAAATCACCAGTGCTCTGATCCATGATTAGTCCAAATAAATTATGCTCATAAGTTCTATAACAATCCTGAGGAAGGGATCTAAAGTACAACAATGATATGCACTGCCAATAGATATTATGAATTTTATGAGCTCCATGCAATCCTCCATGAGCACCCAAGGCTTTTGCTGTAAAATACAACACTCAGAAGTGAGAAAAAAAAACTATATGAATATATTATATAGGAATTTAGTAATGAATAAAATTCAATCAGACTTCTTAAACAAAAGGACTATATCTGTCACCATCACATGATTCAATGCATTTCACAGTAGCAAAAGATCATTTGATGTTCACCCGTAACAATCTCTTCGAATGTATAAATAAACTTAACTTTATATGAATATCATTTGGAGCTAAAAGAGGATTTCCCATCTCATATGTGTAAACCAACAGCATTTCACAGAAATAACTGCACTCCTGCTGTTCAACAGAGAACTGCTCAAAAGCCAGGTATACAAAATTGAAAAACTGGACTGGTCCATGGGTCTTCCATAATAAAGGTATCCTCTTGAATGTTATAGCATGTTACTAAAAAATAATAGTAAATAAATGATTAAACATGAAATATATCGAAAATAAACTAGCAAAAACCTGAAAACATACACGTAATTTATGCGCAAATTGTGAAGCCCTTAGTTGCGCACATGTTATTACGTCAAGTGTGCAATTTATTTGTTTAACACACATAATAAGGAGCATAAATAGAGAAAAGTACCTATTTTTAACAGGATAGACACATGGTTGTGATGCCAAACACAATCCCATCTGAATTGCAAAATATTCTGGATGGACCCAGAGTTGAGTGTATTCACAAAAAGGCAATTCCAACATCCAAATATACTGCATGTGTAATCTATGCTCTGGTCAACGCCATCAAGGATACAGTTTGCTTTTCCACGGACCAAAGTATCTGTGGACAGATTATCGCTGCAAGATAGGCCATTCTTACAGTGTAGCTCAGTTGAAGCCTTTTCACCTTTCATATGAGCAGTTCGCTTACTAGAGCGCGTCCTAGTTTTTACATGAGCTTCCACATTCTGTTCTTTAGCTAAACGTGATGAATTTCTGGTTGTCCTTTTAACTTTAACATCCAATGGTGGACAACATTCAGAATCCTTATGTTTCAGAAATTTTAATGCCGTAAACTCATTCGAGTGATCACCGGAAGCCTGACTAAAATTTGCACATACAGTACATGAAGGTAACACTCCATCATTTGCAGCTAATGGTTCTTTCCCATATTTGCTGCAGATAATGCAAGTAGTTTTAAGCTTATCATATGAGTCAACAGGAGATTCCAATTTGGTGCCGTTCAGTTTATCCAGGGCAGACTGATACATGCCTAGAGCATTAGACAAATTGCCTGCTGACTGTTTCTGAAAGTCTTTCTCATATAGACTCCAAAATAGATCTCCAGCTTGCACATCAAGTGATATATCCAGAGTTAACTTGCAGAGCTTGCACGAAATGAATGTAGCATTTTGTGCAAGAAGATCCCTGGCATATTTAAGCTCGCCCTCTGCGGTGTCCCATTGCTGTCTCTTGCGGTATATTTGACCTAAAAAATCAGGCAACATGAGGCAGAAGGACAAATGACGCAAAAACCACCAAAAGCAATATGTACAACTGTTGTATACTTCCTCCGTTTCATATTATAAGACTTTCTAGCATTGCCCACATTCATATATAATGAATCTAGACATATATATGTGTCAAGATTCATTATTCATTAACATTTATATGAATGTGGGCAATGTTAGAAAGTCTTATAACCTGAAACGGAGGTAGTACTATCTTTGGAGAAGTCCCAAGAGGTCCTTTTCATAACTTATGAAGTGCCAAAACTAAATTACAAGTAATAGTGCCTCTTTGATCTTCGTAACACTGATGTAAAAGTATATATATACGCACAGACCTAAAATTGATAAGGAAGTATATAAACACACATACCTAAAGCTGATGCGAAAAGGACACCAAAAACCGGCAATCCTTGAAATTGTGATATATCCTTTCCTGTTCGTAACAAAACTTCTGCTTCGGCACCATTACCAATCAATTCATGCAGCAAAGCAACCTGAATAGTTAATGCATTACAGTGTGAGCATCATGCACAAAGTTTCTTTTTATTTTAGGAAGCATCATTCCCGAAGTTAAGAATGCTGGCCAAATGCCAACAATTTGTGTGTTGCACTGTAAAAATTATGTCTACAGCCATTTGCATACCACAGTAGGCACCCATCAGCAGGTTGGATGTCACATTGACATGACAGATAGGCCCACATTTATTTGACTACAGTGGTGTACCAGTTCCATTTTTTCAATCATTAAAGAGTATTGCAATGGCCTTTACGCCATGTCATTATTGTACCTGCAAAATGCTATCAAGATAGCACTGGAGTACAGTCCAAGGAGTAAGGAAAGAATCTCTTGTTCCAGTTGATCTGGTAGAATCTGGCCAAATTTCAGTTATTGTTGATCCCCATGCTTCAAGTGAAACAGAGTTTTGCCCTCCAGAACATTGAGCTTCCCCACTTGTAAACTTGCCAAAATTGAATTTGAATTTCTTTCTTAGGAGCTTCTTGCGTAAATGCAAGGCCTCTTTTCCGTATGAAAAGGCCTACAAAAACAGAACTACTAAATGTTTATATCACAAGAAATCTAAAATATCAACCAAGACAACAATTTAGCAATGATTCCTACAAATAAAGATCTTGCACCAAGACATGATATTTCAAACTGGAGCACCGGTGCAACTACCTGGAAAAGTTCTCCTCTTGATAGAAGTCTTTCTGATAAATCAAAGTACAGATAGCCAGCTAGAAAGGTTGATTGATCATTTACAGTAGCCTGTAGATTCACAGTACACAATGGTTAATAGAAAACTAAAACAGCCATAATTACAATGCAATTGTGCTGCAAATAACAAAACTTACATCAGAAACCAAAGATGATGCGACACTATCAACCTCATGAACACTACCACCGAAACCAAATTCCCTTCGAAAGGAAGGTTCACATGTCGTAGAAATAAAGGAATCAATAGGCCACAATCTCTGGAGAAACATACAAAGAGAAGGATGGTCTCCTTTAAAACAGTTTCTCCAAAATTCTGTACTATGGCAATCAACATCAAGATGATGCTCTGCAATTGAAATAAATTGTTGGTCCATTGGGAGATGACAACACGCATGATGGAGGCGCCCATTGGTAAATAGCATGGAAAATAACTTTTCAGGGGGTAAGTTTTCTTGCTTCCATATAATTATCATAAGCTTGCACAGATCAAATTGAAGCTCAAAGCAGCCCTGATATGTCACAGTAAAAGAACATAACTATGTTGCTAAAAGGATAGCAATTGCATCTCATCCAAACTAGGTCGAAAAATCTATAATGACCTTGCTTACCTTCATTGCCAACAAATCAACCAAAGAACAAAGAAGTGGTACAAGATTTTCTGATGGCTGCTGAGATATCATACCAGGAGAATAGTAACCAAAAGTTTTGATCTTTGACCACAGGCCAAATACATTCTGAGCGCTATCAAAGATTACCTATTCAGATGACAACGATGTAACAAGCATGATCAGAAAAAGCAAAAGGCAGAAGTATTTATTTTGTTTATATACTTGCTAAAACATCTAGGATCTGTTGTAATTACCTCCGCACCAAGATTGGCTTCCTGCGCACAATGTGCATGCAGGCAGTATGCAATAGCTAATTGATGGATTGCAGGTGCATTGCCTTGAGATGAATCCAGTGGGATGTCTCGCTGGTTTGAGAAGAAAAAACAAATGTCAGATCTCCCTTTTATGTCTAAATAAAATAAGTGGACAGTAGACCCAAACTCACCAGTAAAGATATGGCTTCAGATAAAGACTCAAGGCAGCTGCTTATACTTTGCACTCCACATGTACGAAGCACACGTGCCTTTCTAACAAGGACCCTCGATCTCTCCAAATAATACTCCTTTGAACAGTATATTTTATTCAACAGAATGTTTGTGATCCTCTTTTGCATTTCTACACAAAACATAGTGCCTCGAGATTCAACTAATGCATAAGCCAATAATTCCTGTGAAAATCAATGCACGTGCAAAAACCATTTAGCTTCAAATACAGAACATGACAGATTCTCAGATACAGCATTATTTATTGTTAACCAATAAAATATAACATGGTACCTGCTCTAAAATTAAGCCTACCAACTTTGTAGGCAAAGGAGGTGTACAACCCATAAGAGAGTGGTACAGAAGGGGAGCACTATCAACACTTTCATCATCCTTAGCATCTTTGTGTGTTATCTGTAGTGTGAATAACCAATTAAATGAAATCAATAGTGGTCTTGGTAGCAACATAATTCTTTTCAGATCAGTACCTTAACCCACAACTTGATGAGGACTAATGAACTGTTCAAAAATTCGGATGTGCTATCATTAGCCAGCAATTCAGACAAGCTCTTCACAATAATATCAGGTATTATTTTTACTCCACATCTATGGAGAATGTCAACCATCTTGGTAATCTTAGCAAACGCATCCATACTGATGTCCTTCAATGTATCTTTCGGTATATCCTCAATAATTCTCTGTTCGTCCTGGCTTGCAGATAGTCTATGGTAAGAAAGCCTGGCATACACCCATACTGTTTGACAACATAGCTCTAAAGCCTTTGGTGCCTAAAATAGAGAAAATGGTTTTGAATTTGTGGTTAAAACTCAAAAGCATGTTCAAGTAAATGGATCAACATCTCAGAATGGTACCTCATCCAAATGTCCAATATTGTAAAGCGTCACACCGATGTTACCAAGTGAGGACATGAGAAATTTGATCTCATCAAGTTTTATCCATGTACTTGAAATGGCACATTTGATGAAGGACACGCTCTTCTGGACTATGAAAGCAAGATACATTAATAGGTGATAAGGATGCAATTCTAATTAGTAAACAGCAGGCTATGTAAAGGCAATACTCCACTAATGTCCTTTGGATAGGAGAACAACAAACAGATTTACTTGTAAGTCAACTGTTTCTATATGTAATAAAATGATATCAATATTAAAAACCAACAGGCTGAAACAAGGCATACTGTAGTTGCAAAAGACATAGTGTCAGTGATAAATGGTGTCCGTTCAAATTAATCAGATTCAATCTATGTGTAAATACTTCACATGGTCCCAACCATCACCCATTGCTCAAATCAGTCCTCCAACTTAAGAAACAAGTCATACTAGCACATGACCTTTATTAGTTGGCCCATTCTCGTCCATATTCTGGGTCAGCAGCCAAGGTTACCCAACAAGAACTATGAGAAACGAATGAAATACCCTCTAATTATTTCACTGCATGGTTTTATGCATCATGCACAAACACAACAGACGCTCTGTTGGGTCTATGAGCAATGGAAATTAAAAAAATGTTAATGGAGAGCAAATTTGGTCATTTCATGTACTCTAGGTTGGCTGGAGATCCTAGGTGCTGACTCAGCATAGAGATGTGTGATGCCACATACACACAAGGACTAAAAGAGCTAATTAATGAAATTCGAGGATTGATTTGACTAGTTGAAGGACCAACGTGAACCACAAACAGTAATTAAGTGACCAAACGAACAATTAACTCCAAGATAGATACAGGAAAAGCGAATGGGGTACCTGGATACCTTCATTGGTAATAAAAGAAACTTTCATTGCTGAAACTAGGGCTCTCAGCAAGGTTCCATGTTGTTCATGCTGTTTATCCTTGTCTCCTTCAGGCATTTCTGTACAGCTGTCACAAGAAAATTCAACACGCAGAATCAGGGATCCCTTTTGTTTCATCTATATCAACATAACTATTTTGCAAATTTGCTCATATAAACATAGGTGGGAACCCTATTGACTAAGAACATATCAATAATTGAAAATAACTTGCAACATAGTGTAGAGCTGACAAATGCTGCCTGTGTATTTCTGATGAACCTACCTATAAGCTGCAATGCTGGAATTGATAAACTGATGCAGTGCTGTTAACACATAGGTCATGTTTATAGAATAATTGGGTGTTATTCCTTCAGAGAAGTTCTTCCAAACTGCATTCACGTACTGTGATAATATCTTGCAAAGAAACTCTAGCGAATCCAGGTATGCCACAAAAGATATATGGTCATCAGAGTGAGACAAACTGTTCTTCTTATTAGAATGCCCAGGCTGCATTGATGAACTAGAAGCTTTACCCATAGTATCAAGTGGAATGGATCTACCATTGGCAAAACAAAAAAGATGTGCCAGTGTGGCAAGGGCACTCTTTAAAGTTTGTAGATGCTTTTCATCATTAAGAAAATCTGTGGATTTATGAGGCCGCTCTCTATTTTCAATTTGCTGAGCACTACAGTATAATCCAATGGCATAAAGAATAAGTACTGAGGCAGTTGCAGGGGTTGAGGAAACCTACACACAGCAAGTAATTGAATTAATCAAAAGCACTGCTTGCATTGGGATGGTATGCATTCACATTAAATGATGCTAACGAAATAGTACAGCATGTACCTCAGAGAAATAACCACCTTGTTCATAAATTAGCTCAGCAGCACCAACAGATAAATCCCAATTTGAAGAAACAAAGCTTCGAGAAAAATATGCTACAAATTCTACAAGCCCATTTACAGCCCTTGGTAAGTCAGCCTGAAAAAGGTTACATCACTTACATGACAACATTACACAGGTAAAGATGCCTTGGCAGAAAAACAGGTTGTTGGCTATTTATGGAATGAAAGAATAGACAGATGAAGGTGTCATTGCACATTACAAATAAACAAATCAGGCCAGAGTGCGCCACAAATCTGCTCTCCATGACCTAGTTGTTTCTAGTCATTATCACTTAGCCCATCAGATGGCACATGACTACATTACTCAAAAGAGGGGGAAAATGATACAGTGAAACAGCACCGATCAGTCCTCGATGATATTTAACATAAAGGAATAACAAGCACTGGAAATGGTCCTATATAAGGGGCATTCATGGTTACCAGTTTAAGCAAATTAAAATGTAAGAGAAACTACAAACTAGAAAGAGGTTTCCAGCTGCATAAAAACAAAGGAAGCATGAAAATACCTTTAGACATGCAGCAGACCCAACAACGGTCTTTAAGACATCAAGCAAAAGCTGAGTGCCCCCACCCCAACTCACATCTACAGATGAACAAATCTTGCGAGCAACCTGATCCATAAAAATATAGTAACATCATTGACTAGCCACGTTTTTTAGCAAATTCGAGAGGGTAATCAATTGTGTAATGATACATACTGCCGGCAAGCGTTCAATAGTTTGCGCCTTCATACACTCCCCCAAGGTTGCACGACAGAATTCACACACAAGGTTGGTATTGAACACTGAATATTCAGCAACCAAGAGAATGGCACAGCGACTTAATGCATTCACAAGCAGTGTCAGATACTTCCTGCTGACATCCTCAGCCAGAATCCTGCGCACACAGAAGTACACTTTAAACCACTCATTTCCTATTTTATTAATCAAACTGAATGCAAAGCTTAGCTGAGCACACAATCTCACCGAAGCCATGGCTGGAGTTGGTCAACAAGGCTGACAACCCGTTCGTATGGGGCAGCTTCCTTCACCTTGCACTTGCTGGCACAATTAGCAAAGCACACGGTGAGCTCAATCGCGAGGATGGTGACTTCAGGGTCCGCACCAGCCTCCCCTGAGATGCCAGGATCAGGAAGGAGGGAAGCAAAACTCGCAGTCGCAGCACGGCGAGACTTTGAGGCCGTCGGCACTGACAGCACAGACCGAAGCGAATCCAGAGTGGCAGCAGCGTCCGCCTCGGCGCGTGCGTAGTGTCCGCGCGACTCGAGGCAGCACACGAATCGGCCGCGCTGGAGCAGCACGGAGTAGGGCTTCCCGGCGAGGCACGCCGATATGACCGCGAGGCAGTCAAGGAGGAGGGCGTAAACGTCGAGCAGCTCGTCGGTGCACCCGGCGTCGCCTGAGCTAGGGTTGGGGCGGAGTAGCAGCGGGAGTACCTGGAGCGCGCGGCACAGGAAGGGGAGGAACCGCTTAGCGAGCGGGCGGACCGTGGCCGCGTCGGGTGGCGGCGGCGGCGGCTGCTGCTTGCGCTGCTTCGCCGTCCTCTTCGCCGGCGGTTTGGCGCTAGGGTTTAGCGTGGGTAGGTAGGGGGAGAAGGGCTCGAGGTAGGCGGCGAAGCGGGAGGTCAGGCCGGATTGGGAGGACGGGGAGGAGAGCGCGGCGAGGAGGTCGGCGGCGGCGGCCTCCATTGCCGTGGTGCGGATTGCGCTTGCGGCGCCGCGTGTGGGGAAATTTTTGTGCGCGTATTTGGGGATTTCGGGGACGGGGATGGGCGGGAAAGGAGGAGGATTTCGGAGCTCTGCGCGCTGGACAGAGGAGATAGGACGGTGGGGACCGGCGAGGAGGAGGCGTACGCTGGAAGATTTGATTAATGGGCTGGTAAATTATCTTGTGGGCTGCCAGTGGGCCTATTCTGATGACCTCTATATGGGCCTCACTTCAATTCAACAATTTGGTTAGTGATGCAAGAAGAAAACATTAGCCATTTCCAAACATTTGAAAAATATCAGGCAGAGGAGTGAGTTTTGCCGACAGTCAACACAATGTAATAACAGATTGTTACAGTCGTAGTAATATCTCGGTTTTATTTGCTCTAGTATGACCAATGAAATATACATCTTGATTCTCAAATGAACCATGTGCACAACCATCCATCAATCTACACTCTACACTTTTTCCATGGCCATCGAATGCGACCGCCGCGCGCTACTCCGATGTACCGGAACTCGAGAGAGCTCCAAACTTTGAATTAAAATTTATGCAACTATGCTACGTATATGTACAGTTTTTGCAGTGTCGTACACTACACACGTCACGTTTCAGAAGACGAGGCAGGACTTGTCGAGGTCATAGCCCATCTTCTCCAGGCCCGGCCGCACCGTGCACTCGACCATCGCCGGCGGCCCGCACACGAGCGCGAGCGTCTCGCCGTCGCCCGGCGGCAGGTGCTCCCTGAGCGTCCGCTCGTCCACCCTCCCCACGCCGTACTCCCACCCGTCCTCCGGCCGCGCCACCTTGCTCACCACGTACCACACCTTGAGCCGCGCCGGGTGCGCCGCCGCCCACCGGTCGATCTCCTCCCGGAGGAGCATGTCGTCCTCCGTCCGGTTCGCGTACACCACGTGCATCTCCGTTCCGTCGTCGGGCTGGTCCCAGAGCACGGCCTGGATCACCTGGTACACCGGCGTGATCCCCGTCCCGCCGGCCACCATGGCGAGCCGCCGCGCGAACCGGCGCTCGCCGTTCACCGTGAAGGCGCCGCGGCCGGCGTACTCGATGTGCCCGATCGGGCCCTTGATGTCGATGGTGGCGCCGAGCGGCAGGTAGTCCAGGTACTGCGACATGAGCCCGCCGTCGGGGAACTTGGGGTCCTCGCCCTTGAAGTATATCTTGATCAGGAGCTCGATGTAGCCGACCTCGTCGACGGAGCTCGTCGGCGTGTACGCGCGCATGCAGAGCTTGCCGCCGATCGACGCGCACACGTACACGTGCTTGCCGACCGGTAGCCCGAGCTTCTGGTCCGGCGACGGCAGCGCGAACCGGAACAGGCGCACGTTGTAGGACAGGCTCTTCTTGTCCATGAGCCGGCATTTCACCTTCTCCCGCGGGTTGGACAGCGCGACGGTCGACACCGGCACGGCGGGCGCCGCCGCTGCCGTAGGGCTCTCAACGATGGACGTGAGGTCAGCACTGCTGCTCTGCGGCGAGTAGTCGCTGCCGGTGACGATGAGCTCGCCGATGCGGTACATCTCGAGGAGGCCACGGGCCTTGTCGGAGTGGATGGCGTCGAATTCCTCGGTGCAGTCGGTGCCGGCGTTGATCATGATGCTGTCGGCGCCGCCGGGGTGGTCCTTGAGGAACCCCGTGCAGTCGTAGACATGGCCGTGCACGATGATCCAGGCGGACTCCGGCGTCGTGTGGCGGCGCACCTCGGACATGGTGTACTGCGTGGTGGCCGTGTTGAGGAACGGCGTGGACGTGCTGCGCTTCAGCGTGCTCACCGCGCTCTCCGACGTCTCGAGGTGCTTCTGCCTCGCCATCCACCCGCCGGCCTGGTTGCCCGGCTGCGTCGGGTGCTCGAACACCAGCCCGATCTCCCCCTTGTGCGGCCTGCACGTCTTCGTCTTCACCCTGAACCAGCAGTTGTTCATCATGCCCTGCACACACGCACACGAACCAAAACGTAAGCACATCGTCGTCGTTGAAACGGATGGCGTTGCCGTTGCTGGTGCTTAGTGCTTACCATGAGATTCCAAATGAGCTTCTCCGGCTGGGTGTTGAGGGACTCGTCCCAGGCGCGGACGGCGATCTCCTTGGCGGCGAGCAGCTCGAGCACCTCGACATCGACGGACCAGAAGCACCAGCACCAGTACTTTCCGTACTTGGTCGGCCTCTCCGGGTGGTCAAGGTTGCACACCTGCCACGTCTCGCCGCCGTCCAGGGTCACCTCTACCCTTGTAACTTTCCGGCCACCGCCTGGCAACAGAAAATCATCACCGTTAATCACCCATTCACCATCAGTACAAAGATACTGATATTATAACGGCCCAGTAAAAGCATAAAGTGATCATGGTGGGCTTTTAGAACGAGCAGGCCGAAGCCCAAAAACAAACAACATGATAGATGAGATGGGCTTGGGGCTTACCGGAGTAGGCGTATCCCTTCATCGTATACGGCCGCTGCGTCGTCAGCGCATTGATGGGGAGCACCTCATCGTGTCCCGGCGTGGTGATCACCGAGTTTATGTTCAGCTCGTTTATCATGTACTCCGGCTTGTACCACCAAGCTGCACATAATCCAAAAAAAAAACACACAAGTTAAGATCACAAAGATGCAACAATGTGTGTCTCGTGCAGTGCGTTCGAGGAAGATATGGTTGGTTAATTACCTTCGGCATTGGCGAGCTCGGCGTCGACGTGAGACGGGAGGACGCGGTTGTCGCGGTAATGGTAGTAGCTCTCCGACTCGCTGGACGCGACGATGATGCGCTTGAGCCATTTCACCATGCGGCCGCCGATGAAGCCCGGGACGATGACCCGGACGGGGAAGCCGTGGTCGGGCGTGAGCGGCTCGCCGTTCTGCATGTAGGCGAGGATGACGTCGTGGGCGGGGTCCATGGCCACCTCGCGGCGCAGGCTGGTGCCGTACTTGCACCCGCCGCCGCCTGGGAGGTCCTCGGCGCCCTCGAAGCACACGTTGGCCGCGCCGGCGGAGGCGCCCATGACACCGCACCACCGCAGCACGTCGCGCAGCCGCACGCCGCGCCACACGGAGGTGGAGATGGCGCCGGGGCCCCAGTTGAAGCCCACGGTCTGGCGCACCATGTTCTGCTCCTTGCGCCGGTTGCCCGCGCACACCAGCGTGACGGGGAGCTCCACGGCCTCGAACCCGGTCACGAGCTGCTCCATGTTGAGCCTCGCGGGGCGCTTGACGAGCCCGGTCACCTCCACGGCCCACGTCGACCAGTCCGCCTTGGGCACGGCGCCGTGGTTGCGCACGTAGTGGAGCGGCGCCGGCGTGATGAAGCCGTGCGACATGAGGCGCGGCAGCGGCGGCTCGGAGTTGAACGGGTGCTTGCCGGTGAGCCGGACGAGCGCCGGGTGGCGACGCACCCACGCGTCGGAGGTGGCCTCGTCGCGGGGGTCCTTGACGGCCGGCTCCGCCACCTCCAGCCGCGGGTGGTACAGCGACCTCCAGTCCGGTGGTATGCTGTCCTCGTCGTCGGAGTCGGTCTCGGAGCCCGAACGGCGCTTGCCGCCGCCGGACGGGAACAAGTCGAGGTTGCTCGACGGAGCATTGCTCGCCCACGGGTGCGGAGCCAGCTTGTACTCCACCGAGGCCGCCATTGTTGCCGATGGAAGGACACAATGTTACAATTTTGCGGACACTGTAAGCTGTAGGTTGTAGCTGTGGTTACTGAGCTAGAAGAAGAGATCACTCGCGAGCTAGAAGCTCAGGATGGCATCTGTTCTTGGAAGCAGTGGAGGTGGTGGTCTGGGGTTTATATAGGGACGAGGAACGCGAGGTCGTAGTAGTTGCCTCTGCTCTGATGCATGCACGGACCCAAGCAGGCCACGAGCTGGCGTCACCACACGCGCAGGCGCGCGATGGGATTTCTAGGGGGATTCGGCCGGATTTTTTTTCTTCATTTTCCAGATTAATACCGGCGACGTGACGTCCATCCCTGTAGCAGCCTCCCATCTAATACGTCCTTTCAATTCCTCTTGTACTAGATAGAAAATGACCTATTTCTTTTGGAGTTTCAGACTGTTGGGAGTGAATTTTGATCACTCTAGGGATGGTCGATCTCTCGTTATCTGTATGTTACTTAAAAAACTAGCATGGTTGCCCCATGCAGATTGTGCGGCTAGCATCATTATATTTTCTTTCATATAATAGCATATATGTTTTCTCATTATATTATTTAAATATATTAAAATGACAACATAATTTTAAATTTTGCAATAACTTTATAAAACCACTAATGTGTAATATTCATATTGTATTTTATATACGTGTTAGTTATTAATTATTTTTAATATCAAATTTTAGTTATTTGTAAATTATATATATTCCTATATGGACTCTACACTCGTCTTTTAATATTTCTTTTTTTAATTCTGAATTTTCAGTGCTCTTCTTTCAATATTATTTATTTTTATTTCTGAATTTTTATTATTTATAATTGTATTTCTATGTGGACTTTAAACTTATCTTTCAATATTATTTAATTTTTAATTTCGAATTTTAGTTACTTCTAAATTGTATTCCTATATTGACTTTAAACTCTTCTTCCTATGTTTTTCTTAAATTCGAATTTTAGTTATTTGTAAATTGTATTTTTATACGGACTCTAAACTCTACTTTTAATTTTATTATGTTTATTCCAAATTTTAGTTAGTTTTAAATTCATATATGAACTCTATACTCTACTTCTAATATTCCTTATTTTTTAATTCATAATTTCTATTTTTTTCTTAATTGTATTTCTATATGGACTCTATACTCTACTTCTAATATTCCTTATTTTTAATTCCAACTTTCTATTACTTCCTAATTGTATTTCTATATGGACTCTATACTCTACTTCTAATATTCCTTATTTAAATTATATATATTCCTGTATAGACTCTAGACTCGTCTTTTAATATTTCTTTTTTTAATTCCGAATTTTCTATAAATTGTATTTCTATATAGACGCTATGCTCTTCTTCCAATATTATTTATTTTTATTTCTGAATTTTTATTATTTCTAATTATATTTCTATGTGGACTCTAAACTTATCTTTTAATATTCTTTAATTTTCAATT